CAGATTTTCCAAGTTTTGTGAGGAATTTGATGTTAGCACGTTGTTCTGCATTAGCACTCAGCATTATTCCGACGGAGCTCAGAAACACGATCCGCTTCTAACAATGGTCGCGGCCAGACTAACCGATGCACGTGAATGAAACTTTGTGTGACGGTAGAGGGAAGTCCAAGGGTCAATGCCCTACCCTCCTCTTCGTCAATGACGTGGCCGGAAATGAGTCATAAAAGTAATCCGGGTTCTTTATTGCCACACCTTGTACACAATTTTTATATTACTGTATACTAGTCTTTATTTCAATTTATTATATAATTAATGCATGTTATACAAAACTCATTAATGACATTATGTTTTAACTATTGAATTCTTAATTAATAGGCTTGCATAAAACTGTACAAATTGTATAAGGTTTGCCATTACTTTTACTACTAAAATTAACTTATTTATTATATTGTATACGCTTATCAGTATTTTATACAAATGTGCATGCTATTGGATGACAACTGTAATCTTTAGTTATGACTGTAACAAGGATGATCTCCACATCCGCATGAAAATGTACTCTCGACATGATTTATGGAAGGTGAATAAATGAAATGAAATATCCAAAATGATGTACAGCTGCACTTGAGCAGAAGCATGTAATCCCAGTTGTGTGAATGGAACAACTCTAATAAACTTTCAAAACATATGGTTCTATATCGCGCTTCACAGCATGATTTATCAAATATGATGAAATTAACTGCACGAGGCGTAAAATGCAGAAGAGCAAAAGCAACAGCAGCAACACCCACAATAATCAATCAATATGTTACATTATAAACTAACAAAACAACTTCATTGGTGTAACCTTATTTCATGGCTAGTGTCACTCACTAGTCACGGTCTTAATGGCCTTACTGCCATTGGTCTGCCTTCTGAGGTTAAGGACTATATTTTGGGATAAAGAAACCATGGGACTGTTTGCCTTCATAACTACTGACACTGTTTTACACCAGGTTGCCAAACTTTAAACCACAGGTACCTACTGAAGCACATTATAAAATACATGTTGTTTTCATTATACTGATGCAATTACCTGCCTACAATCTAGCACAGCTTTCATGACTGATCTTTAGGCACTGGTAACCTGGCAACATTTATAATTTAAATAAATGTCTTCTAACATTATGACTTCAATTCTTATTCATGTACCTGTGCTTCACAGATGTGATCACTGCTGTGCAAAGGTCAGATGTCTGGAGGGCATGCATATGAATAAGAATTGGGGCCATAAGTAATAAAATATTTACATTAAATGTTGCCAGGTCAATGGAGCACAAAAATCATCCACTAAAGGTTTGCTAGATTGCACTGATACTGCATTCTATCACAGAGTTATACTAATCCTGTAATTTTCTAAATTATTTGCTATGTGTCAACTGAAATCAATTTAAAATTTGCAGAATATTTAGTAAGAACTTTTTATAAAGTTTTTTGACAAATTTTGCCACCTTTTTTAAAGTGAAGGAAAGCATAAAGCATTAACACATGTTCTGTGGAATGGAAGAACCTTGTTTTGACTCATTAAGACATTATCAGGTACTTGACCTTTTACATTCACCTGCATTCGTCTAATAGTATTCCTATACTGCAGTGTTTACATACCAGAATACTTTTTTTAGCAATTATGAAATAAAATAAAAGAATTTCATTCATGCAATATGATGCTAAAATATAATATTTAAAGTATTACAAGTCTTAAGAACTACATGCCTGTAACAGTGGTTCATGTACTCATATCTTTGTAGCTTTTAATGAGTTCCTGCAGGCCCCCATATTACTTACTTGTTCTCCTGTGTAACAGGTATATTCCCACCACCAGGTTTTAGAGGTTGCACTTTAATCTCACCAAACACCTCCCTTGTTATCTCAAAATTAAGGCAAAACACCTCCTCAAGATCAGCTTCTTTATAATCCAACAAATCCTGCAGACTTCTGAAATAAGAAAGGGATACAGGCACAGTTAAACTAGAAACTGAATTTTTGTATTTTACTTTCATTGTTTCATGATCCAACCAATTTCATCAGACCTTGAAGTGTAAGTTAAATGGGCTTTTTAAGGGAAATATAGATGTGAAATGACATAAAACTGTTCTATTCTGACAAAACTAATTCAAACAAAGTCCTTTATACTGATATTCCAAATTTTTTATATGTATATATTGAACAGTGTACATATAACATTTAGTGTCTTGGAGCAGTTATTTTTAGTAACCACTTATGAGATTGATGTGAAGGTAATCCTGATGTCTGTTTGTTCTTATTCATTACTATTCCACTACATGCCATCGCATTATTGCGTTCTTGCGCTTGTTGCTGGCACTTGAACTTGTCTTTCCTTTGCAGCCAAGGCTTTGTACAAGTTATATTCCTAGAAAGGTCCAATGCACATGCAAATGTCCCAGATGTTTGACGTTTCCCAAAGTGATGAGGGAGGGAGGTCTGAAACTTTGATGAACAAGAGGCATGCATATGATGGCATGTGACTTGTCTTGCCCTTGCGCTCAATCCATGTGACAATTTTACATGGAGAGAGATAATCTTCAAAACAGATGTGTTTAGTGATTAGGTATATTTTGTACACAAAGAAACTGGGAGCAGATTAAGTGTGGGAAATGCAAGCTACCATTCAATCAAACAAGAAAGGTAATCTAATTTCTTATTTTATGCAATGTAAAGTTGTTTTCTCATTCTAAAGAAAGAACACATTCAGATGTGAGAGAACTGAGTGCTCAGTGGAGCGGAAGAAAGGAGATGATGGAGGAAATTATGTGCATAATCAAGACCACAATTTTTACTATCTACCTAATATTGTTGGGACGATCAAATCAAGGAAAACAAGCTCAGCAGCATCTAGCATATGTGCAGAACTGAGACATACATAAAAAGTTTTGGTTGCAAAACATCAAAGGAAGAAGCTACTTTAGAGAACTGGGCATAGATACAAGGATAATATCAAAATGGATCTTAAGGAAATAGGGTGCCAAGTTAGGGAGTAGAATGAACTAGCCTCAGGAAGGGTCAAGCAGAGGGTTTCTGTGAACATCATCATGAACTTCTGTGTTTCTACAAGTATGTAACTGTTATTATCAGTGTACAGCGTACAGTGGACTTACACTTCATTCTAAATATCTATAGAGTGCATGTAAACAAACATGAGGCACACAGCAAGACAAGTTAATGGCATAGGCCACAACATGTTGACTGTTCTGTATACACTGTTATTCCTGTCACATTTACTTCAGTATAGTATTGAGTTATTACTTATCCCCCACATATATTTCTTCATTAAAGACAGACCAATGGAACCTACCTGAGGATTTCTGGCCATGCTAAAAAAACAAATAACTTCACAGTACATCAGAACTAGTAGCTACTTTTAACATTACAGTGGAACCTCGCTTTACGAGCATAATTCATTCCAGAATCTTACTCGTAATGCGAAACAAATTTTTCCATATAAATTAATGTAAAATACGATAATGCATTCCATGCCAAAAAAAAATACTAAAAAAAATTATGTATAACCTTTATTCAAAGAGAATTATATATACATTGTTAAGGAGCATGAATCATCTTCATCTTTTCTTCTATGCGGGACGAACCAACCTGGAATGCGAATTCGATTTGAAGAAAACAAAAAAAATCGAAATAATTAGTCTATTATTTATGATACATATCTAATTCTTTTTTTAACAGAAAGCTGTCTAGAGACATTTGTTTTTTCCGACGCTTCAAAATTTGGTGAAAATGCAACACAGCATTATCATTAAATAAATTTGTGGCGCGCATAGCCACTGCCTTATTAGGGTGATGCTTCTCAATGTACGATGCAACAGTTTCCCATGATTTCAGCATTTCTCTTATTGCGCCAGAAGATTGTCGCTTTGCTGTTACCTCCTCCTCCTCTGACAAACTCTCCTCCACAACTTCTTGCTGTGAAACACAATGCAACTCCAAATCGTGCAAATCGTTGATGTAGACCGATTGTATGTGCGTGCTAGATCAGCCACGCTCACACCTCGTTCTCACTTTTCAATGATTTTACGTTTCATTTCTAAGGTTATTTTTATTCTCTTAAGGCTGTCTTTTTGTGGCTTTTTCTTCAGGGACATTTTTGCAAGGGATATTAAACTTTGCACAAAAAAAATCACAAATAATATGTCTGAACACAAGTTTGGAAAAATGTGTGATCACAAGTGACACTAAGATGCTAGCGGAACGAGTGCTAAACACAGACTGATGTAGCAAGTGCACAATCCGGGACTTCCCCTCTCATCACTCGTTATGCAAAACGTCGCTCGTTAAGCGAGTCATTTTTTTACAATTTGTTTTGCTAGTTATGCAAATTACTCGTTATGAGAGGTGTTCGTTAAGCGAGGTTCCATTGTACTGTCTTCTGGGATGTATGTCATGTAGTCTAGTAGAATGTTACCAACTTTTAGAGGAACCTCTTGCCATAATCTTCAGGGTAGAAGGCTGCAGGTTCTTCCAAAACATTGGTAACATTCTACCAGACTACCAGCATCACATCCCAGAACACACTAATCCTTATAGTTACCACAGTATTTTTTTAATTGCTAGTGGGGTCGGACTAAGTTCCTTGTACTGTGGCCACTTCTGGCCTATTGTACCAGCCCCAGATGATAGGTGAGGGTGATTGCGGAGCAATTGGTGGAATGAAGATTGCTAGGGGAAACCTATGTACTCGGAGAAAATCTGCCACAGCACCACTTTGTCCACCACAAATCCCACTTGATCAGACCCGGGCCGCCGTGGTGGGAAGCCAGCAACTAACCGCTTGAGCTGCGGTGCAGCCCTAGTCACCACAGTAAGAACCATAAATCTGGTGACAGCATTTCATCATTAATACACATAGATAATAAAATTTAATTAGCCCGTGGGCCTCCATAGCCTGTTAAAGAGATAGCTATAGCTTTCCCTTTTAACTTTGTTTTTAGTGTAGAATTTTTCATCGTGTAAGACTTTTGCAAGAAGTGACTGAATAATAGATCTTTATATCTTAAAACCATACAGCTGCTGGGCAGGAAGTTCCCATGGAAAATCATTATCTTAGGATTTCAAACTTTCATATTTCATGGAACAAAAACAGGGTTTAATGGACTCTGGGGTACTTTAGTGTCAAGGTTTAAGCCAAAGTTCAATATAGGATATATACAGTTGTATAAAGACAATATTTTTTAAGGGTATTTAGCCATGAATAACAATGCTGCTGAAGTGTCCCAAAACCCATTACTACTATAACTTTCAATGTGCTCTTCTGAAATGTAATATTGCATAGCTTGGCAGCTGAATGTATTGCCGCCACCTTCAAGGTCAAAGAGTATGTCCAGCGAGAAGCAAGAAGAAAGCAGTGTCTTCAAGTCTGAAGATGGAGATATATGTTCTCCTGAACACCCATAAACTTTTACCAGACTAAATGGTGTTACATCTCAGAAGATAATAGCCTTCTTATTCAGCACTGTGAAAACCTCAAACCTAACAATCATTTTTGTTTCACTATACAGATCACTTCAAAAGGTTCAAATCATACATTTCTTGCATAGTTCTGTTTCTAGGAAATTACATTTATACGTTCACTTTACTTACTTTGCAAGGGTGGGGGATAATCCCCTGAGATCCAGCAGTGACACTGGCTCCTTCAGCAGTTTCTTATACAGTGCCAGAGGGAAAGGGAGGTCAATGATTGTGAAGTTGTAGATGGCCAGGCCACACAATGCACCTACATAAACAAACCAGTCATTGATTTTGTAATTACAGAGAAAGTTAAAGAACTTTTTTCCAAGTGTAAAACTTTGGTTAAAATTACTGCATAGGATATATTCTAAAGCATTCTGACAGTGTACAACAGTCAGAATTACCAAGTTTTTTAAGCTTGTTCATTGTTTAATCTGCATTCCAACATATGCTAGATTCTAATCTGTGAACTGCCATTCTCTTTTAGACACCATCAATTCAAACTGATATATCAGACTGTTATATCTGTTTGTGTAATCATCCAATTGTGGCAATAAATGAATTTATATTATCCATCTATGATTTCCCCACACTTCTTTCACAGTGTCTTTTATTATCAGCTTATGAGATAACAGTATGACAAGTATATATCACTTTTTTCTTCACACTTTAACATCTACTGTCTGAATGAATGCTGAAGGTGGATGGTACGTAGGTTGTACCAAAAGTCATGAACACTTTTTTCTGCATGCAACCTGGGAACAGCAGACGAAAGAGAGTATGGTGGTAGGTGGAACCAGCTGTTGTGTTAACTTTGAGTGTCTTGTGACATCAATAGCTTGCATCACGTGACCAGTATCACTCCTAACAAAATGGCCGACAATATGTCGTTTCGCCAGTGTGCTGTCCTCAAATTTCTTGTGAAAGAGGAAATCCCTGCTGCAGAAATTCACCAGAGACTTCAGCGTGCTTATGGAAGTGTGTGCATGGGTGCGAGCAGTGTTCGAAGATGGGTGAAACATTCTAAAGATGGCAACACCAGCATCAAAGATGAGCCTCGGAGCAGTTGTCCTTGAACAGCCTCAACTGAACGCAACAAGGAAAGAGTGGATGAGATAATTCAAGATGACAGGCGTGTGACTGTGGATACAATAGCCCAAAAACTTGGCATAGGGCACAGTGCAGTACAGGAGATGATTGAAAGCTTGGGCTATAGGAAAGTTTGTGCTCGCTGGGTCCTGTGTTTATTGACCGAAGACCACAAAGGTCAGCGAAAAGCCATCATCTCAGAACTGCTGCAGAGATATCGATACGAAGGCAATGATTTTTTGCTCTGTATTGTGACAGGTGACGAATGCTGGTTTCACCATTTCGAGCCTGAAACGAAATGGCAGAGCATGGAATGGCACCATTTGCATTCTCCATCAAAAAAGAAGGCAAAGGCAGTGCCATCAGCTGCGAAGGTGATGGGCACAGTCTTCTGGGATGCAGAGGGGTTTATTCTGGCTGAATTCCTGGAACCTGGGCAAACTATCAATGCTGCTCATTATGTCCAGATGCGGCACAAGCTCTGTCGTGCATTGCGCAATAAACGTCCAGGACGAAACATCGTCATCCTGCATGACAATGCTCGCCCCCATGCCACTCGCCTCACATTGGAAGCAACTGCAAAGATGGGGTGGGAAGTTCTTCCACACCCCTCGTATAGCCCTGATCTGGCACCCTCCGACTACCATATTTTCGGATTTGTGAAGGATCAGCTGCGTGGACAACGTTTTGAGACAAGGGAGGCAATTCAGGAAGCAGTGCGTCAGTGTCTTCGGATGGCTGGAACGGAATTTTACAGAAGGGGAATTTTCAAACTCCCAGAACGCTGGGAGAAATGTGTACAAAGAAGTGGCGATTATGTGGAAAAATAAAGAAAAGTCTGTAGATTGAGGTGGTGTATTTGGTTTGTCAATAATAAAGCATGTTACTTTGCAAAAAATTGTTGGTCATGACTTTCAGTACGACCCTCATAGCTTCAAAGAAGTTATCCCCCAGCAAGGTAGACTACCTCTATTGTCATTTTCCCATTCTTCATAGTCTGCCTTCATGACTCAGACATTAGTTCAAGTGATTGAAACTGCAAACAGCATGTGACCACAAAGTTTTGCAAAGCTGCATTCACAGCATAGTAAATAATAAAAGGCAAAGAAAAGGTAATGTTCTCTCTGTGCTTAACTAATTGAGCACTATGTCATGCAGATGTATGGCATAGTCCATGTATAGCTCAACATATTCTTGACTTTAGCACTAGCTGGAGGTGAGAGGTCAGCTTCACGCCTGGCTACTTTACATCCAGGTAAAGAGCCCCTTGTACATATCAGATAGGAGGCTGGGTGGGCCCCAGAACCAGTCTGGATGACATGCAGAAAAATCTTGCCCCTACTGGGCCCCTACCTCCCACCCCTCAGCCTATAGACAGTTGTTATACCCACTGGGCTATCCCAGCTGCACACAGCAAATAATAACAATAACAATATTAACAATAACAATATTAACAAACAATCTCATACATTACTGACAAGCAAACAGCTAAAATGCAAACATGAATTACTTCAGGGTGCTGCAGAAAAGTATTTTCAAGATCTGTTACATAATTTCTTATAGAACTGAAAAATTTCAGCAGTTAAACCAGATGATCATTGAATAAAAACTGTCTTGAATTACAGACATAATAATTTGTGCCATAGTTCACTTTTCTGTTGTGGACTGGATATGTCACAACACTGTCCATTAGAAGAGAAGTTGACTCTTTGACTTATTTTTATTGTGTTTTGAATGAACAAAATGATGACCCTTGGACTTACTCATCCCAGAAAATTTGATCTCCTCAGAATTCTCTGAAACTTTATTACCTTCAGGCAAAACCATTTCATGAACATATCCTATTCCTTAAAATACATATATATGACAATACCACATTGAACATTGAAGTGCAGTGGAACAATATAAAAGAATGCATGTTAGATACTATCAGTGATTTGGTTGGTAAAGCTGAGAAGATAGCAAGTAAACCATGGGTTACACAGGAGATGATGAGTAAAATGGAGGAACGAAGGAAATGGAAGAATGTCAACAATGAAGAAGGCAGGAGGAAATACAGGAGACTGAGGAATGAATTGAAAAGAGCCACAGACAGGGCCAAAAAGGAATATCTTGAGAAGCTATGTAATGAGATTATAGAATTTCAAAGAACAGGACGTTATGATTTGATGTATATGAAGACAAAAGAACTAGGATGGAAAGAGAATCATGGGATTCAAAATATTGGCATCGAAGACTCTCAGGGGAATAGAATAGTAGATCAGAGGCAAGTGCTGAAAATTTGGGAACATTATATTACAGAACTATATGATCGACCTAATCGGCCAGAAACCTTAGAAGTTGAACCGGAAGAAGAAGTAGATACAGACGAGAAAGGACCATATATTTTACAAAGTGAGGTGGAAAAAGCTATCAAGGAAATGAGGAAGGGAAAGGCTACAGGAGATGATGATGTACCTGGAGATGTGCTCAAGTTACTGGGAGAAGGTGGTTTGAAAACACTGACAAAACTAATGAACACCATATATGAAATTGGAGAGTTGCCCAAGGACTTTACAGAAGTTACAATGATTGCCTTAAAGCAAAAGACAAAAGCTACAAAATTCAGCGACCATCGCACAATAAGCCTTATTGCACATACAGCAAAGACAATAGTAAAGATACTTAAAAGAAGAATTGAAAGGAAAATAGAGGATATACTTGGAGTAGATCAGTTTGAATTTAGAAGAGGAAAAGGAACCAGGGATGCAATTGGGATGATGAGAATTACAGCAGAACGAACTTTGGAGATAGATGACGAACTGTGTGTTTGCGTGTTTGCTTCATAGACTGACAGAAGGCATTTGACCATGTAAACTGGACCAAATTAATGCAGATCCTAAAGGAAATAGGTATCGATTGGCGTGAAAGAAGATTGATCAGCAAATTGTACATGGATCAGAAAGTTAGAGTATGACTGGACAGAGGGGAGACAAGAAGTGTGCAGATTGGAAGAGGAGTTCGACAAGGATGCTGTTTATCACCATTTCTGTTCAACTTGTATAGCGAATGTCTTACCGAGGAAGCTCTGGATGGGCTCAGAGACTTCAAATTAGGAGGGCAAATTATTCAAACTGTGAAATATGCAGATGACCTTGTGTTAACAATTAAGGAAGAAACTATGCTACAGGGCATGATTGATAGATTAACTGAAATTGGAAGGTGCTATGGCATGGAAATGAATGTGGAGAAAACAAAAGTAATGAAAATTTCGAGACAACCAACCCCAGTCACAATAAAGATAGACCAAAAANACCAAAAAAAAAAAAACCAGAGAATGTGAAATGTTTTAAATATTTGGATAGCTTGTTAACAGATGATGGAAGGTGTACTAGTGAAATTAAATCCAGGATTGCCATGGAAAAAGCTGCATTTAGCAAGAAGAAGAATCTTTTTACCAGCAAATTGGACTTAAATTTGAGGAAGAAACAAGTGAAATGCTACATTTGGAGCATAGCTCTGTATGGGGCTGAAACATGGACACTAAGGCAGTAGATCAGAAACATCTGGAAAGTTTCGAAAGTGGTGTTGGAGAAGGATGGAGAAGATCAGTTGGACCAATTATGTGAGAAATGAAGAAGTGTTAATTAAAGTAAGTGAGCAGAGGAATATCCTACACGAAATAAGAAAACGGAAGGCTAATTGGATTGGTCATGTTTTACGCAGAAACTGCCTTCTAAAAGAAGTTACTGAAGGAAAGATAGAGGAGCTGATAGAAGTGACAAGAAGACGAGGAAGAAGACGTAAGAAGATGCTGGATGACCTTGGGGACAGAAGAGGATACTGTCATTTGAAGGAGAAAGCTCTAGAGCGCATTAAGTGGAGGAATTGTTTTGGAAGAGACTGTGGACCTGTCGTTTGACAGATTACTGATGATGATGACCACATTGGTGACTGATTTTTATGGTGTGAAATCAAAAAAAAATTTCAGTAAAAAAACTCTCAGAGTAAACATGCACAATCAAAGACAAAAATATCTGTTAAGGAAAATACTAGACCTGATCACACTTCAATGTTGAATATTGTCAGCTATATGTGAATTTTAAATGCAGTGGAATTCTCATTCAGTATTCCTCAATTTAAGGTTACTCCTCTCTTGGAGATTACTTTGCTGCCATTACTGTAAAGTAACAGAAAATGGAATAACCTAAACACATCCGTGCATGCATACTTTGAGTAAAATTGGTGCCATCATGCCCTCTGTTCTCCAACCATCATCAATTATGCAAACTCACAACACCCTTCCTGTTTTGACACTGCCTTCTAGATAAGAGATAGAACAGAACAAACCTAACCTACAACATGAGAATTAATACGTTCACCAATTTATGAAGTCATAAGCATCAGAAATTTCTGATATTACAGCACCCCCATGGAGGATTCATTTTCTGTGGTCATAGCCCAGTGATTTCACTGCTGAGGTTCTTTCATTAAAATTTTCCTAAATTTCGTCTCCAATAAGAAACCTACAAAGGTTTTCACATACAGTTGATCTCCAATGTCTCATCACATGGCAGGACTCACCAATGAGGTAGTACATGATTTCATCTTCAAATGAATCTTCGCTGAACCAAATTGTTCTTGTTTCGTCGTACTGTCGGAACATCCCATATTTGGGGTCCAGGATTTCCCTTGACAGTAATAAGAAGAATTCCTTTGTTACACCCCCTGCATCTTCAGCTTCCTCATTTTCAAACTTCACCTGTGAACAATTATTCTGCTTGCTTAGGTTTTCTTATAACTGGTGAAGTGGAAGTATTCATGGGAAATTGCTTGTTCCTGAAGGAAACTCTTCCAGCCTTCCATGCTTATGTAAGCAATGTTAAATGTGTGGGCAAAAAGTAAACAGCTGTAATTTTATCTTAACTGAGATATGTAACCACTAATTATAAATTCTAATATGTACTGAGATACACAAGAAAATAAGCTCAACTGTTATATGTGCTCAAGTGGAGAAGCCCCACAATGGACCGATGGACAGACAGTCTCCTAGTTATGAATGTGTTGGGTTCCAAAACTTTGTTAAGTCTTTTATTTTGAACTCAAGCAATGTTATACACAGTGCTTTTAGTCTACAAGCTAGTCCAGAACAGCTTATTAAACCATAACTATCTGAAATAAGGCACACCTAGAATGATCAGAAGAAAACAATACTGTTGCAATGCCAGAAATAAAACAAAGCAGAAAAACAATGAAACTCAACAACAGTGAATATACAGAGTACCATCTTCTGGGATATAAATTTACCAGCATTTCAGAGGAATGTACTGTCTCCTTCTTCATGGATGAAGAGTAAGCTGAGCAAGCAAGCAAGAAGGGTGATCTTTTGCTGCTTATTCAGCTCCTTTTCAACCATGATGACAGATGCAATATATTTCTCTTAAATGTTGGTAAAATTCTACCACACTACACAGCATCACACCCCAGAATACAGTAGTCTTACACAGCTTCTTCTACTATTTACTTGAATGCTTGGACTTCTTTCCCTACAGGAAATGGTGTTTCTTCGGGAGAACCAGGCATTATTAGGACAGGATGAGGAGGTAAATGAAGGTATTTATGGAGATGCCAAAACTGGACACTTTCGAAGACAGTACAGATTGCTAGGACTTATTTCACAGAGTGACAATTGCTTTATACAAAAAGTGGCTGTTGTAAGAAAAATTATTGAAACAGCTAATATTCACAAGGCCATTTGACAATCAGACATTCATAAAAGGGAACAGTCTACATAACTGATTTAATTAACATACATTTTAATATTAGCTAATTTAAAAGTTACTGAATTCATAAAAAGTACAGCTTCTATTACAGTGAAATCTTGTTACTGAATTCTTGTCTACAATATTTTTGCATACATAGTATTTATTTTTTAAACCACTGACAAAAAGAATAATATTACTATTCCACACATTATAATATTGAAAACACTAAAATGGTTTCAATTCTTTCTTTGGAACTTTATTTGCTAGCTGTGTGTACCTGTTTATCCCTGATTAAATAGCAGAAAATACAGCACAATAAATAATTTAATCCCTCTGAGACCTTCCCATCTTGGTAATCTTAACCTGTTATCATCAACAATAGCTTTATGGCCATGCAAACTTGTGAGGTGCATTAACAGTGTAATTGAATGTCTTCTCTGGTGTTACTTCATATTGCAGGTTATTTTATGATGCTGTTACTATCTGGACTATATACTGTCTAATAGTAGGATGGGAAAGGATTTCGTTTCAAGTGATCATGGCCTAACTGAGATATCATTCCATAATTTGAATGAAGGGACTGGCAAAAACCACAAAAAGACCTCAGTCAGGACAGCTGGCACCCCAGCCAACAATCAAACTGAGCACCTCCAAAATATGATCCTGTGCTATGCTAACCAACTCAGCTGAAAGGTATCCAGCTTATGTATCATTATTCTTGTAAAGAAAATGGAAATTAACACCAGTTTTTCAGGGTGCGGTCAGTTACGTAGTAACTGGAGTTGCAAGGGGAGCCCACTGTCTACATCTACCCTAAATATTTATCAAATTAAGAAATGTTTCACACATAAAGCTGCAGAGAAAAACGAAGAACACAAATTTTATGACTAATGCACTCTTTCTGCAGATCTTATGGTTTTTAAGATACTTAAACAAACAAGAATGAACATGTCAAAATTACACTATGTTCATATTTCCTAGCTGAAAAAGAGTGAGTCATATAAAAAGCAAACTGTGCAGCACTGTTTAATAAAACAATACCTTTAATGGTTTCTTGAGATCTGCAGTTTCAAACTTGGCTAGCTCCCGAATGGTGTCAGCTACAAGGTTTCTTCTGCTGACATGTAACTCAAGAAATGTGCTGATATTGGCAGATGCAAAGGGCGAGAACAGGAGAGATGAGATTGCCCTGGTGGCTGCCTGGTTCATTGCTGACTGCATCTGTCAAACATAACAGATTATACAAATACAGAGAGCAGATCTATATTTCAGAGGGAGCTTATGGGATAAGATACAAAATACAAAAGTCTATCCTGCCTTAATGTGAATTTCACCTCCTCAAAATGCAGCCTGTTAACACAAACAAACCTCTGCAAACCAATTCATGGCAATATGACCTACATATCTGCAGTGTAAGAAACAGAACTATTTGATTAAAACAAACAAGACAAGGTAATATAATCATTATATTTGGTATGAAGGAAATTACACTAATGAAACTTACATTAAGTTCATTTAAAAGACTATAGTGTTCTATGAAGTGATGCAGTATCATCTGGTAGAAAGTCACAGATCTTACATAGGCACCTGCGGACGCCATCTTCAGGATGCGAATAGAAGAGTAACACGAAGAAAAAGACATGCTACTGACACAGGGAAAATGTCCCCATTGAACAATCTTTTAAGGGCCAAACTTTCTTTCCCTATTCTTCTTACTTCTTTCAGTCTGCTCAGGGCCCCAGCCCTCCCTTTCTCTACATCAGTACCACTTCCTTCCAAACTTGATTTATTCTACTACCCTGAAGATGGAGGCAGCAAGTTTCTCTGTAACACTGGTACCATTCTACCAGACTATGTGATATAACCCCCAAAAGGCATATCCTATAATTTTCAGGTATATAAATTATTTTGCCATTCCTCCACCCATCCTCACTGACCACATCCATGTGGTATCAGAAAGTTCCAGACTATTATTGTTGTAACTGCCTCAGTGAAAGAAGATGAGATGGGAGGCCAAGGTCACACTTCTGCAAGCCTATTGCATCAGTCTGCCACGTGACACCGTGCTGTGAACACCCATTGTTTTTCAGGGGTGCTTTTTTGGCTCTGAGTTTCATTCTGTCTGCTATGGGTGACAAAATCGAGCAATACGTCTGCATCAAGTTTTGCGTGAAGCTCAGTACATCTACTACCAAAACCTCTGAAATGCTTTGTGAGCCTTTTTGAATGGCATTCACGTTTCAAACTGTATAATGAGGAGCTTCATAATTTGTACTCTTCTCCGAGTATAATTAGAATGATCAACTGAAGGAAGATGAGGTGGGCAGGACATGTAGCACGAATTGGGGAGACAAGAAATGCATATAGGATATTGGTGGGAAAGCCAGAAGGAAAGAGACCACTGGCAAGACCACGGCATAGGTGGGTGCAAAATATTAAAATGGACTTTAGAGAGATAGGATGGGATGGTATTGATTGGTTTGGGCTGGCTCAGGACAGGGACCAGTGTAGGGCTCTTGTGAACACGGTAATGAACCTTCGGGTTCCATAAAATGCTGGGAAATTCTTGAGTAGCTGCAGAATTGGTGGCTCATCAAGAAGGGCTCAGCTCCATGAGTAAGTAAGTAATTCACGTTTCAAGGCCAGTCGAGTGTCAGCTGAAGAACATGAACGCTCAGGGCACTCAAGCACCAGCAAAACAACATAAAATGTTGACAAAATTTGAGAACTCATCAACAAGGACCACTGCTGAACAATCCATGAGCTCACAAGCACTGCTGGAATCAGTTATGGAGTTTGTCAAGAGATCCTAATGGAAAATTTGAAAATGCGCCACATTGCTCCTTGATCATGACAACATGCCCACCCACATGTCCCTGAAAATCACAGAGTTTGTGACTTAACAACAACAACAACAACAACAACAACAACATGGTTATCGTTCCCCATCCTCCCTACTCACTAGACTTAGCCCTGTGAGATTTTGTTTTGTTTCCCAAATTGAAAATTAAACTGACAGATGTTCTGAAACAGTGTCTGACAGCCAAAGGCAAGCGGTACTTGACAGCATTAAGGAAAATGACTTCCTTGGTGCTTTTGAAGCATGGGAAAAAATTGCTGTATACGTTCCAAAGGAGACTATTTTGAAGGAGATGGCAGCCTAGCCTGGGAACCTCTGATCACAGTGTACAATACTTGGGATTACTGAGTTGTTTGGCCTTTATCTTCTGGTATTCTAAAGCACACAACATATTGGACTTTTGTTTCTATCATGACAGTTGCAGTCTGAAATATTTTCTAAACACTTCATCATACAAAAATATCTTTCTGATATAACATATTTATGCCATTAACTAACTCCACAGGGCAGAGTCCTTCTTTAGATGCCAACAGTCACTCTGCTGGTCAAAATTTCCCCACCACTTGTGGGACCACAAGGTTCATCACTGCACTCACAAGAGCTTGCCACTAGAGGCCATCCTGAACCAGACAAATCCAATTCTCTCATTAACACTAACATTTTGTCTTCTCATACTAAGTCACATAATTCTTTCCATATACTTTGGAACATTTAAGTTGCCTCCTAAAAATCCAACTTTCTTATTATTCATTATATTATGTGAACTACTCACAGTAACCCGTTACTGAAAATGAAATACAAGGTGAATATTACTGTCTCCTGGAATGTGATACAGCAAAGTCTGATACACAACGATGTTTCTAAGGAACATACTGACTCCAGCTTCAGGGCAGAAGAGAGAAGATGAAGGCAATGTGTTCTCCAAAATATTGGTAATGATCTATCAGATAACATGGCATTCATTCCAGATGACAGCAATTTTCACAGTCACGGATACAGAAACCCAGATCTCAAAATATGAGATGTCCCGCACTCACCTGGAGAGACTGGTTTGTTTGCAGCAAGAGTGTCTTTGTTTGAGCATCAAACAGGAATGGATAGTTGCAAAAATAAATCCTCTGTTTCTGGAATAAGAAATTAAGCTGTAGTTTTTCACACTGTTATTATAAAGCAATTGAAGTTACAATCAGTCATCTAAATTACTGAATTCTACTTCCACTAAGCAGGGTCCTTCTTGAGAAGCTAACAGTCACTTAGCTAGTGAAGACAATGTTACCATGTTGCCACCAGCCCACCATCAGATACTATTCTGAGTCATCTGAATTCAGTCCACATCATCACAGCAGACTTCTTTAATATTACCCTCCCCTCTATCTCCTGATCTCCTGAGTGTTATAGCCTTCAAGTTTCTAACTAAATTTTCTCTCCCTTCCATGTCCTGTGGACCTCATCCTTCTTGATTTCATAGTCCTAACAACCATTGTCAACCCAGCTGAAACACAAGAACATTGAACAGATAAACTATTATTATTTAAAATTTCACATTCATCTCAGTGGTTTATAATCTGATGAAAGGTAAACAGTCCAGCTGGTAATTCAGCATATCTGTAATCTTGTGCCATCTTTGACCTGTGGTACATTAAAGGATGACCAGATGAAAGTATCAAAAATAAAATAATTATATTAGAAAGCACTTATTATACACACTTATGGGTTACACCATTACAAAGGGAAAATATTAAAGTTTTTTCTGAGTATATAACTTTGTCCCCCATTGATGGTGTCTCCACCTTATCGTGGTGGTGGGGTTCGAGTGCTCCTGAGACCTTGAGAACTATGCTGACAGTACCATAGCTACCGGTAGGGTCACCCATGCTGGACAGGTCAATGGATAGGAAACAGATGAAGAGGGATACACTGGTTCTCCATGTTCGGGGTTGGGCATGAGGCTAACAACTTCATACCATAAAACTAACTGTTCAGAAACCAGATAATCTGCCTCAGATGGATGGGTTGAACTGATTCAACATCAGCAAAGTAGCTGAGATGGTTGGATGACGTACATGATGATCTCCATAAAATGAAAGTGAAAGGATGGAGAAGAAATATGAAGAATAGAGAAGAACTAAGGCAGATTATTCAGGAGGCAAAAGCGCACCCTGAGCTGTAGCACCAAGGGGAAGGAAGGAAGGTAGGAAGGATATAACTTTCTCAGTAAATTTCAACGTGGGCTCCCTTGGTAGCATGACAACCATCCAGATGACATTCGACCTTGTTCCACGTTACTTGAAGCATGTTTGGTGTTGCCGTAGTCATAGCATCCTTTATATGGGCTTTAAGGCCCTGAAGGTCATTTATCTTAACCTGCTAGAAAATGTTCTTCATATAACCCCACAAGAAAAAATCCAATGGAGTTAAATCTGGTGACCCAGGAGGCCAAGTGATTGGTCCACCTCTGCCGATCCATCTCCCAGCCATCTTTCTGACCAGGTGACTCCTAACATGGTGGCAGAAATATGGCAGCATCCCATTTTGTTGGAGGATAGTTTGAGGTGGTCATTGGGGCAGTGCATACAGTTCCAGCATGTCTAAGCATGAACGTCTGGTCACAGTCTTTTCCGAAAAGAAAAGCGGTCCAATCAACTTGCCGTGCATTAAGCCGGCCCATGCGTTCACTTTGGGGCTGCCCCTCTCCCAAACTCACACATCACATGTGGATTTTGACTGCTGCAACAAATCCTGCAGTTGTACCTGTTTACAAATCCAATGGCATGGAATGTTGCTTCAACCGAGAAGCACACTTGGTGGAGGAAATCAGGGGACATATCAATTCTTTCTAGTATGTCTACAGCAAAGTTTGTGTGCACTCCTTCGTCACTCGTTTTTAGTGTATGCATCATTTGAATCTAGTCTGCTCTTATGCAGAGCCTTTTGTGTAGCAAATCATGCACTACTGAATGTGCTGCAAGCTAGCAACAGCATGAATTGATCTGTGTGTAATTCACCTTGTATTTACACAAAGCTACATGACATTTCAAAGGTCCAAAATACAATACCACAAGAGAGGTTGAGAATGTGTGAGCAACATGATGATCTTTTCTGTGAGGTGTGCTCTGCACACAGCATCAGGACTTCCTTCATGTAAGGGGATAAATATACTATCCGAGGAATTATTTGGTTCCTCTCGCCTTTTAAATCTCAATGTCAAAATGTTACATGTCATGTGAGTCATGAACAATGTTTAGTGTACCAGCATGCTGGTAACCAATCTAGTGATGCTCTGTTTGGTGCCAGCTGCCAGTGAGAACATTTTAGTGTGAAAGTTGAAAAAAGGGATTTTGGAAAGTATGTAATGGAGAAATGTATCTCAGATGGCAAACTGCTGTTCACTCCAAGACCTTGAAAAACATTTACCAATGCTTCAACCAGATTGGAAAGCACATAGTTCTATTTTCTGAGATATAACACTATGCAGTCCAATGAAAATCAAACAATGATTCAGAAAAATATGCAAACTCCATATTCAGGGATGAAGGATAAGCCAAGCAAGACAACAGCATAAGCAAGGCACCAAGCAGAAATCTCAGTTTATCTTCAACAGACTACGAGTATATGGTGTCATATCCAGGAAGACAGAACTCTCGACAATCACCGGTGTGAGAACCTCAAATCTGACAGAGTTGGAAGCCTTCTCCATTTTTCATTTTCCCTCAACCCTTAGAGCGCCATGGATAATCGGCTAGGAGCCCTAGCATTAAAATTGCCAAAGTTGAAGGGATAGGATCGTTATTAGTCAATTATTATGTTTCTGCCAATAGTCTCCCATCAATTGTGACATACCAATGTTTAGAGGCAAGAACAGGCTTTCACTTGGACTGTACTCATTGTAGTTTTTAAGATCATATGAGGAAAGTATTGAGGATTTTCCAGCAAAACCATACTTACCCAGAAGCAGCCATGGCATTCCTAGCAGGTAGTTTTATGGCAGGACTTGGTAGTCAAAGGGTTAAGAGTTATTTACTAACTTTGCCTATGCTATTTTGCATTTCTTGACTCATCTGGTAACTCCAGCTATACATTTGTCTCTCCAGTTTTCATTCTGATATTATCTTTTACGTTCTCAAAGTTATCCTAAGGTCATTTATACCATTACATCCTTCATCTGGCCAACAATTCTCGTAGCTTTTCTACTTTCATATCTTGACTAACGTCCTAAGGTTATCCTGTTATCTTTTACAATAGTAGCACAAGTGTCACGATATACAGTAAATAATTGAAAAGGCAAAGGAGTTTGTTCTGTCAAAATGTTTTCGCCTATCTCCCATCGCCCCTTTGAAGTTTAATTTTACTGCTCATACTAGCAAACATAATTTTTCCTTTGAAAATGAGGTTTTCACAGCACTGCCTAAGAAGACTGCTCTCTTTTGGTATGCTTCTACCCTGAAGCTGGAGAAATCGGGTTTTTTTTTCTGAAATGCTGGTAATGATCTACCAGACATCACAATAATCTTCTGATTTTTCCCTCTCAATCACTTGAAGCCATAATACCAGAAACTCATCTGATGAGGAACAAGAGCTGACATTTCCAGAATTACTCCTGCTTTTTTTTTCCAGGTCAAATATATATAATTAGAAATAACAACAAATGATTCCTGAATATAATGATGATTAACACATTATATTACACTAAGTACATAACCATTCCTGACAATCAGAAAGACATATCAGGGTTCTATCAAAGAAGCTGGGTGTTTGTAGGATTTGAGGTTCTCAGAATGGTGTTCCTAAAGAATTCTGTCTTCTGGGATATAACACTGTGCAGTCCATTGAAAGCCAGCCAATGTTTCGGAGGAACATGTTGCCTCCCTCTTTAGGGTCAAAGAATAAGCAGAGCAAGAAAGTAGTGTACTTTCCATGTTCCTCTGAAACAACAGTTAAATTTCAACAGACTACACAGCATTAAATCCAAGAGAGAACTCTTCAAGTCTGGGCCTTGTTTTGTCAAACAAAGTCCATGCCTTTGAATATAAAAATCACGATGCATACAATCATGCAACAGATATCAACAGAAATCTTTTCACTAAAACTACACAATGCAGCAGTCTGATATAAAAAGTAACACTGACCTGTTCAATCTGCAGAACTTGAGTGACACTATTCATTTACATGTGGTGAAACCCTACACATTGATGTGAGCATGCAACAGTTACGTCGCCAGCCTAAACAAACCCTACTCATATTTTAAACAATTCTGAGGCATTCCATATTTTCCAGATAATTGGGCACCTATCAAAATGCATCCAAAGCATTATAATTTTCTAAGAAGTCTCTGTGCAAATGTGTGCGCTACTATCATTAGAACAATAATCTTCAAGATTTTAGCCAAACTAATCAGTTAATACAAAAATAAAGTCTCTTGTGGGTAAGGTGTTAAAAATTATAGCTAAAATGGTTCGAATATTGTGATTCGTTAGAGGCAAGGTAAAGTTTGCTCTGCACTTAGTGAAGAACCACAGAGTGGAGGTATAGTTTCACGCATTCTTAACCTTGGCACCAGATGGAGACGAATGGCCAGCTTCATGTCCCAACTGCTTTACCCAAGAGGAAAGATTTCCCATTACCACTAGATATGAGGTTATGTTGGCCCCACAGTCAGCATAAGGTAGAACAGAGAATAATCCCTGCCTGTGCCAAGAATCAAGTTATCCAGCCCAAAACCTGGTCATTACTTTGCCAAGCTATCCTGGATCCTGATCGATTACAGCATTCTTAAGCAGTCATACAAAATTATTTTGGATTTATGCCTTTACCATGTAGTAGTTTCCTGCCTTCAATCATGTGAATGTGAATGTAAATATAAAATTACAGCTGATTAAGTTTAATATCGTTGCTGACTACTCAATGAAATAATTTTAAATATATTGTAGCGTGTTTTGTGTGTCACGCTACAAATAACTTCACACCGTCTTCTGATATAGCGAGTTTATTACGTTCGCTCGCCTTACACACACTTTACAATCATTTACACTTGCAGTGTTACAATCACTGCTCACAATAACTCGGCGATGCTGGACTGTCTCCTCTCTGGCGGTTGTTCAAAGACTGACCCCTTAGACGGCTATTC